TGGTCCAATAAGACCTGCAATTTTGCACTGCGCCACGCCAACGGTAACTTACTGCTATGTGGTCGATTTGAGTTAGCGTACCAGTTGAACTGGAGCGCCACGTTGCCGTCCGTCGAGAGCTGTATCGGAATTTGGTGCTTGATAGGAACAGATGATGGTCTGCGCAGAACTGAAGAAGTCGATCGCCGTTAGCTGTTCGTTGGCTGAGTAGAGCACAACTATCGCCTAGGCAAGCTTCTGATGCGCTCAGTTTTTCAACCTGCGCGTTGAAGTCACCTGCAAGTACAACTATGTCGGAGCTTCGACTCATCCCAATGAGATCGGTGGTTTCATCGTAGAAGGCGTCCTTTTGGATATCAGAGCTGCAATTGTTCGATNTACGATGAACAAACACCTTTTGGTGTTGCTTCCCTTCCGGACGCTGATTGAACGCTGGAGACGCACTACATATAAACGACTGTTGACGGGGATCCAGTCGATAAGAGAGGACTCCGCCCTGTTGCTAAGTACAATATCTACCCCGCGCTGACCCACTGAGCGGGCTTCGTTGTCGCCTGATGTGTGAAGAACGTATCTCGTCGACAAATCTGGCGCGCTCAAGTAGCTTAGAGTTGTAGGATCCTCGATCCGAGTGTGTGTGTATGGTTTGTATATCTCTCCCCGGTTGGTTTGGAATCAGGGATTTTAGCCGGTTCCTCTAGGTGGAATGCCAGTTGTTCACCGATCCGACTTTAGCCCCGGATGTTGACTTATTTGTCTTCTCACTTTGGTTGGAAAGCACCTCGGTTACGGCAAGACAATGAGTAAGGCTTCCTCGGCAGAGGCTGTTTGAGAAACATGATCGTATGGTTGCATTTCGCGATTAACCAACCACAACCCCTAACTTCCACTCCGTACCGTACTGGGGCTTTCGGAAAATTAGAATTATCTTCGGTTGATATTTGTTTTTTACCTGCGTTTAATGATATCTTGCAACTTCTATGCTCAATCTCAATGTCCTAAACGATATTCTCATTGTGTTTGTCCCCCGGTTGGTATCTGTTTAGTAAGCGAGTTCGTGTGAATCTTAACGTGGCATTGAAAAGTGAAGCCAAACAGGAAACGGAACAGACAATGGGCAATGTGGAGTCCGACAGGAAATTGATCGTTCAGGTAAGTACACACGGTCGGTCGCACGAGTATTCTGAGTTTTTATTACTGCGATGACTTAGTTCGCTTGGGGGGGGGAGGGGGCATTTACTTGCTATCTTGTTGGTTGAATGAAGATTTGTTGGATTCATTCACCCTGCTGCACACGGATCGTTTCACTTTGCTAGTCGATCACGATGAAAAAACACCGTGAGTGTTCTGCGTGCATTCAGGGAAGTTTGTTGTGCACGGTACACAGCTGTTTTACTTTGGTTCCCTCTTTGAGTCAAACTTCGGTCCTCTGAACATCGAAAAGACAATATAAGTTGATTTCGACGTCTTTTGTGTGTTTGTTTCTACGGAATTGGCACAAGCATTTTTCATTAAAGTATAGTAAGCCTAGGGAAAGACTACCATGTGATAGCAGGAGGATGAGAAGGTTTGACGATGTCCGTTGGGTTCGAACACACGGGCCTTGACACAATAAAATGTATCTAGCATCGCTTTTTCATTGCTACGCAATCACACTTGCGATGGTCACGGGGATTAATTGCTTCTATCAGGAAGAACCCAAGGTTGGTCGTTTACTATGATTCGAATAGATGAAACAGTTCCATTTCATCTAAATGTTCTGGGTTTCTACTTGTCAGTAGATTCGCGAATGTTTGTTGCTACGTGGTATGAACAGAACAATTTATTTACCTTATCGAAGTTACTGTTTGGCTGAGTAATCACATGGTTCAATCCGTCTTCACTTGTTTGTTTATTGTCATACATACTTTACATTTCGGTCAGAGTGGTTCAATTTACCCTAAAGAGTTACAGTTGTTGTTCTCAACTCAAGTAATCATCGTTATCTGTCACGCTTCGGGTAAACCTCTAGAGTTTCTGGTTTATTCGTGTACGGTACTTATTCAACATCGCGTGCTGTACTAACCACACGACAAATGGACCCAAACGATAGGAAATGCGAAGTGTCTGATGCAATTTGTGATAAAGCGTAGCTGGGAAGTGGTATTTTTAAAAATCTTACTCCCTTTGATTAAATATGATAATAATAATAATGATAATAATACATTTTTCATCAAGGAGGAACTGCCCAATCGATGGGCCGCCATACAATACAGAACGAAGAAAGTCAGGCGGTGATGGTGGGATTCAAACATGTCCTCTGGTAACCTTTAACGCTTGACCACCGCTCTAGTGATGCTATAATGAGCCAGGCGGTCATTGATGTCTTTATAGATTCCTATAGGTTTCATTGTAAGGTAGTGTTTTGTAGTGTTGGTATCGGGGCGAACCATCCAATGCATGTGTTTGTGATCACCTGTTCTGACATGAGAGCTCTCTTGTTTGTTTTGTAACTGTCTTTCAAACCAGACTGTTGGTTTTCTGAGAGATTTCGCACTCACCCATAGAATTGTGTCAAACGAGGTTTCTCAGCGTAACCGAACTACTGCGTTGACGGGATCTGTCGGACAATACCAAGGTGTATTATGATAACAATCGAGCGGTTTAGGTAACTGCTGATCGCTTAACGGTGTTTTCCTGCAAAACGTTTTATTTCGTTTCGGTTTCGTCTTCTTTGGTCCTTTTTCCTTCAGGCATGTATTGTCCGAATTATGAAGACAAGGAAGGTGATGAAGCATCAGCAGTTAATCACTGAGGTTATCGCGCAATCGTCCGCACGTTTCAAACCGACAATGACGTTGATCAAAGTACGTGCACCTGTATCAATTTATGCAACGTATTGCATTACCTCTGTCTGGCTGCAAAAGTATCGTATGAAATGTTCATTTCAAAACATTTAGCTGTTCGTGAACCAAGCCCCTGTGGTTCTTGTCCATTGATCCGTTTCAAAACACAATCTGCGTTTGAATATATCGATGACGATTAGTTTTGTGATCAACTAATATAATGATATTTTATTTTTTTTACCTCTGTTTTTATCTTGGTTTCAGCACTGCATTGCTGCTCTCATCGAACGTGAGTATATAAAGCGGGACACCAACGATCGGGACGCATACGAGTACCTTGCCTGATTGATGCCCTCCGTGCTCACCCGATTCGGATGTATTGTTCTCTTACCGAGAAGAATTGACTTCATATGTCCAGCTGGTTTTCGGCTGATGCTGTGAACTTTTGCACTCACCGGTTCAGCAAGATTCTTTTTTCTTGTTTAGCCCACATGTCGATATAACGGCACAAAACTATCCACATAATATGGGTCCGATTGTGACATCTAAACGAGAAGCCCGTGTGACGGCACAGAACCGTTATTGGCTCCCTATGCGCGTATTCTTTTACCGTTACTTCATCAGCCCCCAGCGGATTTTCTCATGCTCTGTTATTGTTATACTTCCTGGCTCTCTTTAATCACCGACCAGACCACCTTTCTATTTGTGTGGGGCTTAGGTCGCGTCGGTTTGCACCTCGGCAAAACTCGGACGAACCACTTGCATTTCCCCATACATGTTGCGGCGTATAGAATCATGTTTACCCGTTTTTTCGTTCGTCGCCATATCTAGTTTCCACTCAGTGCCATCCTCATGTTATCCCCTTACTCTCGCTCACCATCATTTCCTTACCAACGCATTCATCACAAGGCGCAAACGGTTGGACGTGCACGCACATGCACACATTCAAGCTCCCTGACTGTTTTCATGCAGTTGGTTGTTTCACTCTGGACCACAGTGGCACTCAACGGAGCTTGTATTTTCACAAATGTGCTCGTGTCTGGCACATGTCCGACTACCGCTCGGAAAAAATCAGCGCGATGCACTGCTTTTACTCTATTTTTTTTTCTTCTGTGGTGTTGCACATGAAGACACCTGTTGAACCCATCAATCTAATCCATTGAATGTATAGTATCATTTTCGCTGTTTTCTTGAATTATCACTATCCTCAGGTATACTAAGCACTCGTTTTAGATTGTTCGTACTCCTCGTTGCAGTGTGGTGTGGTTGAATTTGCCGAACGCTGCGTCAGTTTCTAGTAGTGTGCACACGGTGGTTCGATTCAAGTTTGGTGGCAGATAGAAACATGATCGCATCAACTGAATGATTCGGGTGGGACGCTTTCGACTACGGATCCCATAGTTTGTTACTCCCTTGACCTCCGCTTTCCTGATGGGGTTCGCCCAAGAATGATAACTGCGATTCGGGAAGAGCCTGGAATTCTGGGTTCCCATTGATGAATTAGTGATTGTAAGGGCTGGAAAAGGAATTCGCCGAAAACATGTTCGCCTACATTGTGTTCCCAACCAATGGGCATATTCCGTGAATGTGTTATCTCATTTCGGTCCTGTTGTTCCTGGGTATTCTGTAGGCGACTCAAACAGAATGACTGTTAAGGCAGTGGCCACAGTTAAATGCGATCCAAGCTCCCAGTGTACGAATCGTTGATTGTTGCGAAGGTTGCGCTCTCTGGAAGTAAACTCTTAAAAAGCATCAAAGTGCTTTGATTTGTTGAAATTTAAAATTGTGCCCCTTCCTACGTGGCAGAGTTATGAACTCAGAACACACCAAGTATTTATTGCTCTACGTGTTAGGTGTAGACACAACCAGCATTAGATTCGCAGTTATATTTATACCCAAGAAATAGTTGAATCACATTTGAATTAATTTAACATTCTCTGTACGAATGTCTTCGTGATGCTCACCACGTGAGGACTAGTTGGATACTGAACCTAAAGCTAACCTGCGTTGACGGCCTGCCGATAAATCCTCTTACGGATCTCGAACGAAGCGCGCTATCTCCTAGTGTCTCATTGCCCTGGGTTGACAAAATTACTCGTGGTGGTCTTAGACGTTAATTAGCGTATCGTGGTACTGGAAAGTACCGAACACGTGAGGATGTGATGACTAAACAATGCAGTAGCACGGGGAAGGCGTGTCATACGTCTTGCATGGGTTAGAACGGGACCCAGTTTATATATACACCAAAGTTGGGAACAGTGTTCAGTAAAACACAAGTAGTTCAGGTCAGGTCGGGTATACAGGACTTGCGGCTGTTGCCAATGCGTCCAGTTTCTTGCACTTGTGAGCTCTGATGGGATCCCACCGTGCTTCGACTGCAGGAGAAGGTTTTCGCTCGTCTCTTTGGGTTTCTGGATGACAGTCAAACTGAGATGCAAATGAGATGTTGGGATGTTTAGTCGGTAATATTGGTAGGCCGCAGTCAACAAAGGGTCGTCGCCTGAACCGGTTTCTATGCGAGGAATTCAAGCTGGGCACGCTCTAACGGCGGGTAAGTACAAGGTATAAATAAAGTCTTGAGAGCGCAAGAGTTGTAATTTATAAAGATAGAAAATAAGTGTTATTTGTTATAAGGAGAAAGAGTGATGTGAAAAAGGAAAAGTAACAAGAAAAGAGACTCCCTCTAACATGGGGCTTACAGGTTGGTCTTTGGTTTACCATGCATTGATCACTCCAAATCAGGGAACATAGTCGGCCCGCAGTGGTCCAGTTTGTGCTTGCATTTATTGCTGTGATCACTGCTTCTGGGAGTTTGTTCCAGCTGTTCACCACATGGTTTGTTAGAAACTGTGCTCAACGTTCCAGCCTGGAACGCTCTTTTACCAATTTCACAGAGTGCACACGTAATGCCACGTCGTTGGCAGTGAACAGTGGAGCATCCGTCTCAGTTATGCCTTTATAATCTTAAAGGCTTCAATTAGATCACCCACAAGGCGTCTCCTCTTCAGAAAGAATAAATTCAGTATAGACAGGAGAGTTAGGTAATCTTGCCCCCTAAGGTGGGGGAAGCACCTCGTGAGCCTACGTTGGACCACCTCTAGAACCTTCTTGTCCCACCCCAGGTATGATGACCAACCTTGGATGGAGATTTCCAAGTGTGTTCTTGTAGTGACTATGATTGTACGAAGAAAAGGAGCAATCCACGAGGACGTTTTCCGTTCATATTTCCTTCACAATCAACTCTGACTCCAATTGTGGTACTTCTTTGTTTTTATTCTACTCATTTTACTCAGCACGGTTTTCCGCTCAGGTGTATATATAAGTTGTTTCTCACGGTTCATTTTCATTTGCTTGATATGATTATTTATCGCGATTGTACGATGGCCGAGGAGCGTCCACCAGTAGATGATAGGGAACTGGACCTATTGGTTATTAGTTTTAAGCTAGTAGCTTACATCCCTCACCACCCTGAGGTGTGGTTTGCTGCATTGGAAACGCAGTTTATCACCCGTTATGTGCGGAGCCAGCGCTCCAAATACGTTCACTCGGTAGAGGCGAGCCCTGGCGACCGAATGTTCGTTGTTAGGGATATTATTCCTAAAACGCCGGAGAAGAACGCGTACAACGTTCTGAAGGCTACTATCCTTCAGTTTTACACCCCCTCTAACGAGAAAAGGTTGCTGGCTCGTCACCCGATTGGTGACACGACGCCAAGCAAGCATCTGGCGCGTCTACGCACGTTAGCCGGCCCAGCAAACGCCCACTCTGATATCGTCAGAGAGCTGTGGCTAGAGTCGTTGCCACGTCACGTCCAACCGACGGTAACGGCTTTGCTAAAGGACTCCTCAATCGTCAAATCTGCGTCGATTGCCAACAAGATGGTTGCACGTGTCGGTAATGAGGGTAATTTCCTCGTTTCCACGACATCGCAACCGTGCAGTGGGAATAGGGATAAGTATGCGGTACGGCCTTCACAGCCACGACCACAATGCATATACCACTTCTTGTCCTTCAAGAGCAGAGTTCCGGTGCCCACAGCGAACCCCTATAGGAATAGGCCTAGGCTCGAACGGGCAGCACAGCCCACCCGCGTTCGCCGAAAGCAACCGAAGGCTCAGAAGCCACCCTCGCGCAAACCACCCGAAGCCCCGGATGACCCCTCCGAGAGTTACTGCTGGTTCCATCGTAGCTATGGACCAGGAGATAGCAGTTGCAGGAAGCCCTGTACCTACGCGACGGGAAAAAAGTAAGCCGGCGAGTAAAAGTGGTCGCCGGCCCGCATCCCCAGGTTGGTCATCTGTTTTTCGTACGTGACCATCACACGAACGCTAGGTTCCTCGTAGATACGGTAGTCCAAGTTTCAGTCTTTCCGGTCGGTAGCAGCAAGCAACGAGCTACGACGCTTCAGCTATGCGCTGCAAATGGCACTCCCATTCCTACCTTTGGAACAACACAACTCACGGTCAACCTGGGAGGGAAACGACGGTATCCACGGACGCTCATTCTTGCGAATATTATCACTGGAATACTGGGTATCGATTTTTTGAAATATTATAGATTGCTCGTCGATTCACGTAGACTGCAAATGATCAACCCAACGTCGAATATCAAATTCATGGGTCTCGAAGCCCGCACAGAGGTGTACCGATTCCCGATATTCCTGTGGATTTCCAGACATTGATCGCCCGATTCCCCAAGTTGACTAAACCTATCGAGGATTTGACACTAGTGGCTAATGGTGTTGCACAATACGTAGTCATTAAGGATTCACCAGTCACGGCACGACCTCGCTGACTGGAGCCGTACAAATCCGCTTTTCCTAAGCTTCAGTTTGACACGGTATCTTCAAAAGGTATCGTGTGTACTTCTCATAGTCCATGGGCCTCTCCTCTACACATGGCTCTTAAAAGAGACAGCATTAGCTGGCGACTATGTGGTAAATGTCGGTCAAATAACACAGTGACTCGTCTCGATAGTTATCCGACTCCACACATTACCGACATTTTATGGCACAACTATTTTTTCACGATAGATCTGGTACGAGCTTATCATCAGATCCCAGTCGCCACTGAACATATCGAAAAGACTGCTCTTTCGACTCCTTTCGGTCTCTTTGAGTTCCTACGTATACCTTTTGGTTTGCGAAACGCTGATCAGACTTTCCAGAGCTTTATCGATAGTATAACTCGAGATTTCGATTTTGTTCACGTAAAAATTGATAAATTGTTTATTGCCTCTCACAATGTAAATGAACATTATCATCATTTGAATTTTTTAATTCGACGTTTATCTGATAATAGCATTGTAGTCATACCCGATAAATCTGAGCTTGGCAAAAAGGAACTGATTTTCCTTGACCAAAAGGTCACATGATAGTATTGCGGCGTGACCGAAACCAAAACCACCGACCGACTTACGCAGCCTTGCCTTTGCCACACTGTTATTCTGTTTAACGCCATTTACTATCATGATTATTGTTACCCTTATGCCAAGCGACTAATGCTATCGACACTAGAACGNGTTGATTCACTAACGGACAAGAAATCCTCCGTGAACTCGTGAAACGAACTTGACTGTAAATTCGTATGGTGCATATTATCTGTATTGACCATTTGTTTAGTGTGTCACGAACTGATATTGTCCAGCGAACTCGTCTTCTGATTTTGCGTTACAAAATGGCGTCTCGAGCAAGATCGAAGATCCCCAAGCCGACTGCACGGGAGCTGTAGGACAGCAAAATTGCCGTGTCCCGGCCCCAGCAACTCCGAAGATGTGGTTGACAACATTGTGAGGAAGATACTCGCCAGTAATGCGCTCAATCTGAATCTCACTCCGCCGTTGCCCCCACCAGATAAGTTGACCGCGGGCTGCAACTACCCACGATGGGAACTCCAAGCCCGTGCTTACATCCGTAGGTTCCCAAAGGAAGAACAAGGTGTTGCCCTGCTAGGTTTGCTGACCAGAGACGCTGCAGATCGCGCATTCCAAGCCAACGTCTTCGAAGGCGATGTCCTGGGAGCCACATTCGCCCGGTGGCGTGAGCTGCTGGACACGTTGCTACATCCTGTCGAATATCAGACGCAGTTCCACGCGGCGCGCCAGG